GCCGCGTCCCCGCCGGTCGTGCTCACCCCCCGTCCTGCTGCGCTCCTCTTCCCTAGGACGGGCCTGGCTTCTACACCACCCGGTGCCTGGGGCCGATGCTGGCAGAAGTGGTCCGAGTTCTCCAGGTGCGTATCCCGTCGGCTCCCAAGCCAAATAGTCGTGGAAACTCTTCTTCCTTGCCCTTGATGGGGCTGAGCCCAGCCCTGGCCCCGCCGGTCGTGCTCACCCCCCGTCCTGCTGCGCTCCTCTTCCCTAGGACGGGCCTGGCTTCTACACCACCCGGTGCCTGGGGCCGATGCTGGCAGAAGTGGTCCGAGTTCTCCAGGTGCGTATCCCGTCGGCTCCCAAGCCAAATAGTCGTGGAAACTCTTCTTCCTTGCCCTTGATGGGGCTGAGCCCAGCCCTGGGCAAGAGGGGAGGTGGGTGACCAGCCCCCTGCCCATGGTTGTCCCCAGCCTCTCTCTGACGAGACCTGGCACAGGGAATGACGAGGCTCTTCCCTCCCCACGCGACACCGGGAGAAAGTCAGGAGTGGCTCCAGCGCAATTCCACCACCCTCTCTGGGGCCAAATGGCTAATGGTCGCCATCCGTGGCCCCGGGCGAGCGAGGGCTGGTTTTCCAGGACCCTCACCCCGAGTTTGCTCCCCCTTCTATTCCGGCAGGAGGGCATTGACCCAAAGAAAGTAGACGCCATCTCCACGGCCTTCGGCTTTCCCGTGGGTGCTGCCACGCTGATCGACGAGGTGGGCGTGGATGTGGCCACGCACGTGGCCGAGGACCTTGGCAAGGCCTTCGGCGAGCGCTTCGGGGGAGGCAGCATCGAGTTCTTCAAGCTCATGGTGGAAAAAGGCTTCTTGGGTGAGACACCAGGCAGTTGGAATGGAACGTGTCGCCTTGGTTCAAGGCCATCTCTCTGCCTCTTCTGCCTCGGGACTGAGCAGTGGGAGAACAGCCCTGGGAAGGGGGTGGGAGTACCTCCCGGAGCAGGAGTCGCAGGCGGATCAGAGGGGAAGGTGTCAGGAACTAACGGGACACGTGGCGGGACGTGACTCTCCCCTTTTATCCCCGGCAGGTCGCAAGGCAGGGAAAGGCTTTTATATTTACCAGGAGGGGGTGAAGAACAGGAGCGTGAATTCCGGCATGGATGAGATCTTGGCGCGGTTCAAAGTGCCGGCCAAACCTGAAGTGTAAGTAGCTCCCGCCCCACGCAGCAGCACTGGGGCAGCGCTGGGGGACATTCCCGACCACAGAGTCGCAACGGATGGCGTGTGGCCCTTTCCAGCTGACGTGTAGAATCATAGAATCACAGAATGGTTTGGGTTGGAAGGGACCTTAAAGATCATCTAGTTCCAGCCCCCTTGCCATGGTGTTAGGGAGGGAGGGTCTGGAGAACCTGTGTTGACAGGAACGGGGTATCCTCGGATTTACCAGCAGTTCCTTGAGCAGAAAGCTTTTCTGTGGTGGGGCTCGTCCGGGTCAGCAGCCTGGCGCAGCCCCTGCCCCGATGCTGGACCAGTTGCTCTGGGGCTCTGGTACCTCATCCCGGCCACTTGCCTGGGCGGGCCGGCATCCTGCAGCGTGTCTGGAAACTTGGTGTTGTGCTGCACCCAGAGGGCACGGAATCCCAGCACGGTTTGGGTGGG